TATATATATATATATATATATATGTGTGTGTGTGTGTGTGCAAGGCGCGCTATGTGGGTGGCGGATTCACACCATCACCGTTGGATGAAGAGTGCGCCACTGACACACATGATCCTGCTGGACTGCTGTTATTCGTGTTGCTACTTCCTCGGACACCAGAGCCACCACTTGCCATGCCGACGTTTCCAACGATGCCCCCACGCTTCGGCCGTGGGGAATAGTGCGTGTATGGAACGCCGCCGAAAGAGCGGCGTGCAGGTGAGATGGTTGGGGAAACAGACTTTGGGGAAACTGAGACGCTACTATTTCCGTGTGCGCTACGAGAAAATCGGTTGTTGGTATTCGCTAACCCACCTTCAAGGCCATCCCGCGGACTATTCATCGCACTTGAAGCCAATTCGTTCATCTTTGCCGCTAGCTGAGTCTTCACATCGTCACTGAGCGCAACCACATAACTTGGGCGGCGTTCGACGAGCTTGCATTGCACGTCCTCCGGGTCAATACTGAGTGCTATATTGACACAGCGGTCAGGGCTTCCCGTTGGGACAGAGAGTGACATACAGAAGCGACCATTGTTATCGCGCTTGATGCTATCAGGGAAGCGCGATACAGTTGAAGTAGATGGTGTACCTCCTTGTGGATCAACTGCCATGTCGTCACTGCTGTGGTTCATAGATACTCCAGCAGGGAGTGACATAGAACCAGTCATCATCAACATGTTCGGTAGTTGCTGCGATGTAGTCAGTGATGCTGTTGATGCAGCCTGTGAGCGGCGTGATGGCGACACTCCACGTGAGGCGAAGGATGAGTTCGAGATCAGCGACATACTCTGGTTGCCCACCATAGATACATGGCGTGTGTGCCTTCCAGCAGGACTACGCCCAAGAGAGAAAAACGAAGGGTTATTATTATTGTTGCTGCTGTTGGCGTTGTGACCGCTTGTGTGGTTGACGCTGCTGCTGCTGGTGAGAGGCGGAGGCGTTGGAATTCCTCCCACACCGCCTGGAGGGGAGCTGTTGCCATATGCAAAATGAAAACTGGGCGTACGGTTGTATTGATAGCGACCGGAACTAGCGAGGGCATCCTCCATATCTCCTTCCACCTCCACCAGATCGTCATCATCAGCTACAGCATAGTCAAGATTCCCATCGGCGTTGATGCGTAAGTACTGTGGCACCCCTGGTTGCGCCGCCGGGGAGCCGCAAAGCGGCAACACAAAACGCCCCGCTGATGCACCAAGTGGGACCGCATAGTTGAAGTTGTCATGCAACGCCGCATCCAGTGAGACAGTTGGGCTAATGGGAGCACCACCCCCACCACCGCGTGAACTCAGTGCTGGGCTATGACACCGACTTGTTCCTGCATCCACCTGCGAGTCAAGAAGACGACGCTCCAATGGTTGCTGAGTCCCATCGTCGCCTTTGACCGGAGCCTCAACATGTTGCGGGGACAGTGGTGATGAAGCCGGTAAATTGCCCATCATCCAGGTGTTACAAATCTCCACCGATATATGAGCCGACACGTCCTCTAGCTCTTGCTGACATAGCAGCTCCTCGTCAATGGGGCTTGGCATCGGTGTCCAGTGCGGGCTCTGTCTGTCGCCCGTACCAGAGGTGAAGGTGTCGGGAGGACTTACACGTCCGCCAGTGATCCACGGGTGTTTCAGCAGCTCTGCCGCTTCTGGCCGCTGTGCCACATCGCGGATAAAGCATTGGTTCATGAAGTCAATAAACTCTGGGCTGAAATCGTACATATCATCTTGCTGCGGCAGTACAAGCGGGGTCTCACTCGAAGTGGTGATGTAAAACATGAGAGGAAGGTTATCGCGAACGCCAGCGTGATACCACGGAAGCAGTCCAGTCGCCAGCTCAAAGAGGGAACAAGCCATTGACCAAATATCTGATTTATGGTTTGCCTCACCCTTGATGAATTCTGGAGCCATATACAGAGGAGTTCCTATTATACAACTTTTCGACTTACTCAGTTCATTCACACGCTTGCTGCAGCCAAAGTCGCACAATTTCACAACACCATCGTAGCTTACAAGTATATTTGCTGGCTTTATATCGCGATGTGAAATGCCTTCCTTATGAATGAATGCAATTGCTTGCAGAATATGCCTAGCAAACTTGCGCAGGACAGGCTCCCGCAGCGGGCCATACTTTTCCAACAGAACTAGCGTTGACCCACCAGTGAGTAGTTCCATCACGATGCGGCACACCTTCTGCGACGCACTGTGTTCAAAGAGTCGGTATGACACAATGTTAGGATGCCGCAGGGACTTAAGTAGTCCGAATTCTTTCCCAATTAAATTCAGTGCTGCTTCGTCATTTACCTCCGCAATGTTTATCTCTTTGATGGCTACAAGCGCCCCGCTTACGCAATCAACACCCGCATAAACCTTCGCGAAACCACCCACACCGATCAGAGGTCCTTTGCGAGTATCCATTGGATGGTCCACATTGCCGCTGATAATGGGTGTCCCCGTGTGGCTAAGGTAGCAGCGGAGCTCACACAACAGCATCGGCAACTCCCTTCGCGCCGGCGACACAGTAACCGCGTCCCCTCTACCGAGTGCTCGTGCCGCACCACCCATAGCATAGTAGGCTGCTACCATTGGGCTCGATGGCGCACTCATTAGCATTGAATGACGCCCGCCCCAGTGCACCCCCAGCAGTGGACTAGCCGATGCGTATGGTGACGCCAGTTGACCGGCAGTGAAGAGTACACTCCCACTGCGGCCTCCCTCTACGCCTCCGAAGCCAGGCACTGTACCGAAGCCAAACGATGTGCTCAAGGATGTGGATGGACGGTGATAATCCGCACCAGCCGCTGTCGGTGCTGTCCCTGACACAGGACACGCCGGCGAAGACACCCCACCACCAGGGACGATGTGCTTCCCACTGAATAAGAGCTGGTGGCCAAAATGTACCGACTGCCGCGACGCTGCAGCTGCTGCTACCCTTACCGGGTTGAAGACACAGAATGAACGACTCCACTCCTGAACACTACCCATGAGACTCACCACAGTGCTTGCGTTGCTGAGACTGCGTCGGTTATTGCTATTAGAGTGCCGACCGCTGGGGAACATGGAGCGGTAGCTGCCGGTCCGCTTTGATGCCCCGCCGCGCTGGTACACCCGCTGTGCGGAGCTACCCGGCGAGCTACCACTCGTATTGGATCCAGTCTCCCATGGGCGGTGGTAGCGGCCTGTCCGCTGCGACCCTGGCGGCCCTGCAGTTGAGGTGCTGCTATTCAGCGTGTCCTCATCATCATCTTCGCAGTCGCTGCTCGACGATGGGGCGAAACGCCGCCGATACGGCGGTGTATCTAACTGCTGCTCACTCCCGGCGTCGCTCATGACACGGAAAAGCGTCCCTCGTGGTAGACCCTACGCAGTGTTTTATTTGTTTAGGATCACACACACACACACACACTTTCTATGGAGGGAGCGTTTTTTTTTCTTTGTTTTGGTTTCGTCTTGTTTTATTTTTTTTTTATTTATTTGCTTCCGTTCCGTATCTTTGGGCTCCACCTTTGCCTCCGACTTGTATTATTGTTGTTTCTACCCTCAAGGAAGAAATACCAACAAGACACGTATTTTTTTTGTATCGTTTTGCCACAAAGCACAGAGAAAGCTAAACAACTAGAATGAAAGAAGACTATACCAGATCAGACTTGTGCATCTCAGAGAGAGAAAGAGAGATAGGGAGAGAGAAGGAAATCGAGCACGCACCACGAGGACGTGTTACACACACACACACACACACACACACACACAATGCCTGCATTCCCCTCCATTTTGGGGTCTCTAATACCTGAGACATGTAGTCCTTGTCACCTTTCGCTGCTTCTCTTTCTCCCTACCTAAAGCGAATAGGTGGAGAGGAGATGCATGACTATGTATACCTGCGCTTGTTGCGCTGAGTAGCAGTGATGGGCGTTATACCCCTTTACTACCAGAATTTCACAACAATAGCCACACCACAGACGCACACATATATTCACGGTGACATCACGTAGTGCAGCTACCAGTCCGAGCCGTTGTCTGGGCGCAGAAAAGCGAACTGGGCGTAGAGCGGGTCCAGTTCCTCCTCCGTCATGGCGCGTTGCAATCCACATAGTCGCAGCAGTTCCGCATCAGAGGATGCATTTAACGCGAGAGACGCAATGAAGGCGCAGGTCAGCTGCCGCAGCGGTTCAACAAGAAGAAAATCGCTTAGCATAGCGACTTCCAGCAGTAGGTTTAGTGACTGTGGCGCACCGTTTAGAATTACGCGATAGTAACTCGCTTTGCCCTCCGCGTTTGTGTTATTCTTCTTGTTGCCACCTTCCTGCTCGACGCTCATCTGCTGGGTGATGGCGCGGCTAATTGTCTCGTCCATACAGTTATTCAGCAGGAACTTGAGTTCCCACGGCTGAACAAGCTCCTCGATTGGAGCACGGAGCGGCTTACTCAACGTCGTTGGAATGCGCGTCATCATCAAATCCAGGAATTGAAAGAGGACTTCGCACCCTCGTCGTGTTGCCTGCGGAAGCACCACCGGTGGCAAGTCCCCTGCGCTGTCTTTTCCCTTCCTGTCGGCCTTGTTAAGAGAACCACATGCGTTGCTGTCGTAGCTATGCACATCCAACTGTAGGTCTGCCGTGTCCAACATGGTCTCCAGCAGACGACACATCCGCGCCCCGCGTGCGTGGAGTGCGAAGTCGTGTCGCACCACAGAGTCCTTTGGGTGAGAAACGGACGCCCAATTGCTGCTGCTGCTGCCACCGCCGCCACCACCACTGCTGCGGTTTTTTACGTTGATGTTCGTCATGCTAGCACCCCCGCTTATGCTGTTCTGCCTGCCATTACCATTACGCACACCGTTTTGCAAACTTGGTGGGATTATGTTGAGGTCGTGCGGACCACTGAGCGCAATCACGCGCACGTACTCCTCCGACGGCAGCGCAGCGTTCGCGCCAAGGCTGACGAACAGGGGCGGCACCTCCCTCTCCACACCAACCGCGGTGAGGAGCGCACCCGTTGGATCGAGCGACGTCATGCACTGCGCCTCTGCACGTCAAACAGCGCCCTTGCAATGGCGTGACGGGGAAAGAAACACACAAAGAATAGAGAGAGAGAGAGAGAGACAGAGAGAGGCTTGCGTACGCCGGTGGCCCAGCTCCTCTTTGTCCCTGTCGTAGCTTTTGCTGTCTGAAAAGTCTCTACCCCAGAATTCCTCTTGATGCGCAAGAAACAAAGGGGAAAAAACGTGTACAGAGACGCAAAATAACGGGTGCAGATGTGGGGCGCGCCACGCACGCGACACAGCAGACGTGAGGTGAAGAAAATATCTTCTTCATCTACCACCCTTCTCTCTGTTCCTTTTGTTGTTGTTGTTTCTTGCCCATTCGCTGCTTCGTTGTGAGTTTCTCTATGTGTATGCGTGTGTTTCTCCTCGAATCTCGGCGGGTTGCGCTCTTTTTTTTTTTTTTT